TTTACCGATTCGATCTCTTGGTTCTTGATATTTATTGGTATTCTAACGTTGCTGAATATATTTGGTTGTTGATCCTGTCTCCTTGTTGGATTGAGCATCAATGGTATGGTATATTATGGTGATTTGCATATGAAATCCTATGATCTTAGCATCCGGTACGTAATTGTTCACTCGGTTTCTTGTAAGTCTCGGTTTGGATTTAGATGATGTCTTGAACTCTTTCATTGATAAGAGTTTATTATGTGTGTTTATAAACATGTGCAATGTTGATATGTAATACTTAACTATTTAACTCACTAAGCGTTGGTTTACCATTTAAGTGGCAACCTCTCTCAGGAAAGAAGACGGACAAAAAGAAAGAACCTGTTGTCTGACTTGAAGATTTAGCGGGGAACTTGAAGATTACGTTCTTGATTTTGGGTAAATAGTAGCTTATTACTATATCTCATAGAGGTAGTAAGTGTAGCTTATATATAGTCTTGTTCTGGTTATAAGCATGTCCCGTATTCTTTTGCTACTTAATTCGGGTTGTAAGTAAAAAACTCCGTTATATCCGGTTTGGAATTGTGTTTTGGGTGGTTTTATCACTAAAATAGAACATATATTTCGAAGTTTTTCTAGAAATTTAATATCCCATATTTTGAGGTTAATCAATGTTATGCCCAGATCTGTGTGTTTCAAAGGGTTGACCATTTCATCGCCTGCCTCTGGTCCATTTCATCGCCTGCCTCTGGGCCATTTCATCGCCTGCCTCTGGACCATTTCATCGTCTGCCTCTGGTCCATTTCATCGCCTGCCTCTGGTCCACTTCATCGTCTGCCTCTGGACCATTTCATCACCTGCCTCTGGACCATTTCATCGTCTGCCTCTGGTCCATTTCATCGCCTGCCTCTAGACCATTTCATCGCCTGCCTCTGGTCCATTCATAGGCTCTAGTCCATCCATAGGGGCTCTGGTCTTCCTCCAGACTTAGTCGTTTCAGCAGCATCTTCAGATTTTCCACCCTTGGCCCCGATTGCTTTGATAAAACTTTTAGAATAATTAGGATCAATTTTTGGTCCTAACAGTCAATAAATTATATTTTATTGGAGATTTTATCACTTTGGTAAACTTGGGTTTGCTCAAGTGAGATGTTAAAATCACCCTGCAACTACATGGAAAAAGGGAATCTCACTAAACCTCTATGCCTAACCCTCATTTTATGTTTTCAAATATGTGTTGCAGGAAATGCAGATCATAATGATTGTAAAGGAAAAGGAAAAATGTGAATTATTTCCCTATGTGCTTAGCTTCATGAAGATAATATTTGGATATGTTTTTGGAGGATAGATGTTATGGATACAAGAGCATGTATTTTGGAAGTTTTGAGTTGTGTATTTTGTAATATAGACTCTTGTATTGTGGACCTTTGGAGGCTTGAACATGTATTCTATGAATGAAATATGTGTTATATGCAATGTGAGTTTTGGGAGTGTTACAAAACGGTTTGGGTTAGTTGCTTATCAATTAGAGTTACTAGAGGAGCTTAGTTTGATTTATAGCACTTTCCATGTTTCTAACCTATGAAAGTGTTTGGCAGACCCCAGTCTGGCAGTACAGTTACCTGAGGTAAAATTGGATAGCATGCTGAACTTTGTGGAAACTCTTAAGGCCATCACTGACCGGAAAACCAAAGTGTTAAGGAACAAAGAAATCAGTTTTATGAAAGTTCAGTGGAATTTCCATAAGGGTTCAAAAGCAACTTGAAAATTGGAGTCTGAAATGAGAGTAGAGTATCCGTGGTTATTCGATTGATTGAATTCCGGGATAGAAATCTTTTAAAGGTAGGATAATGTGATAACCGGGTTCCGGTTATATTCTTTGAGGTATTATTTGGTTAGTGATTATTTGTTTATATTAAATCAAAAATGCATATATGCATGAGTATATATGTATATATGTGTATATATATATATACACGTGTGTGTGTGCACGCACTTGAATGTAAGAGGGAGAGTTTTAAAATATATAAACCTCTCTACGGCCTGATTTAGAATGTACTTAAAGGAGAATTTTTGAATTCATCTCCATTCTGCCATTTTGGGAAAGATAGGAGTAAGAAGAGAAAGAGTGGATTATGTGTGATTCCTTGCCAAGGTTAGAAGCTAAATTTTTGTGATCAATTGGAAGTTGAATCTGTGTAAAATCATCTTCAATTCTTGCACCATAAGGTGAGTTTTTATAAAGGCTTTGAATTTGATTATTATACTTGTGATGGTACTCTGTTCTGCATAATGATAGTTAAGAAAAAAAAATGTTGTATGTATATTTTTCTAAGGTTCTTATGCATGGTCCGATAAGGATCTCTATCGGACACTGTGTTGTCCGATGAAGGACTCTTATCGCACAAGGTAGTGTCCGATGAGAACACTCATCATTTTTAGTATTGTCCAATGAGGACCTTTACCGTACAAAGCTTTGTCTGGTGAAGACCTTTATCGGACAAGGCATTGTCCGAATTAGGTATCTTATCGCCCAAATATTAACCGAATTGAGTATTTATGATTTCAAGTGTTGACCGGGTTGGGTGATTCCGTATCCACGATTTCCTTCTCTCAAAACCTAAAAGTTTTGGAGACCAACATATTTGATCAAATGACACCCTAATATTGATCATCCCTAAATAGTTCATCCAGACCATCCCAATAAAATAAGAACAAAAATGCTTCTACTCATGTCCCATGGCCAATCTAATATAACATGAGTAAATGTAATGCACCTACGATAGCTTCTTGAGACAAAATTAATACTCTTCAGGGTAACATTATACACTCTAGAAGATCATCCCCAATGGTGTTAAGGAGACCAACATATTACAGAAGATTAACACTAAAATCACATTAAAAAACTTGGATCTTACCTCATGGTTAACAACTGTAGATTTAAACATTGCAGCTTTATGAACAGAAAAAACAAATGGGTCTTACTTCCTGGTTGAGCCATCAAAAATCCAGCTGGTGAAAATCATAGCAAAATACAAATTCCTCGAGGAGATGGATAATTTTGACCACTATAGATCTTTCTTCAAACTGTTAATCGATTTTCCAACCACGATGAGAAAAATGGGCGTTTTTGAAGATGATATTGATAAGAAAAATGTATTAACAGCCACTGGAATTCACACTCAAAAACCCTAATGGGTATGTGAAAATTTTGAACGATGGAAATGGATAATTATCTGGAGATGGAGATGGATTGAACGATGGAAGCACGATTGAACAATGGAAGTACGATTGAACGATGGAAGATTGAGAAGGACGACTTGTCTGGAACCTCGCTTTAATGTGCCTAAATCGTCATCTTGGGAGGGAGAGAAATGCCTGAATCGTCGTATTGGGAGGGACGAAGTGTCTGAAACGTCGTCTTGGGGAGGGGAGCGATGGAAGTGGCATCTTGGGGAGGGTAGCCAGGGTTGAAAAGTAAAGGTAAAGGTAAAGGCAGTATAGTATCTTGGTCATTTAGTATTTTAAGATTTTAAGACTTTTATTAAATTTGCTTAATAAGGTAGTATATATATATATATATATATATATATATATATATGGGGGACCATATATTTTAATCCTCTTAAATATCTTATTATTTGTTTCCTAAAATAATTTGTTTTTTCCTATTTGCAATCATCACATCGATATAATGTTTCACTGGTGAAACGACACTATATTCAAAACGGACCAAACGAGGTCATAGTGATGTTTGAGAAGATCACAAGGTGTTGAAATGGCAGGATAAGGAAAAAGCTTGAAAACCATACTTGCTTTAACAACGGAAAGAGGTTCCTTCGACGGTTCAACTTTACGTCTCGGTTTAGGTGCACTAAATTGCTTGATAAATGGTGGAGGACATCTCCGAAGATCACAAATCGTTGGGAAAGTTCCGTCTGGGCTCTCCTCTAACCAAGATTGGCATACTCCAGTATGAACCCGTCTTAATGTAATTATTCCCATTCTTGAGTGAGCTAGAGCGCAGCCATCTTATCCGCTGAACTAGAAGGCGAGCTTCTCTGCTTTGATCAAATCAAAACCCCCCACCAACTCGATGCATGTCATGAGACCTACAGCTCGACCTTCGCTTTTTGAGGCTTCCTCTACTCAATCTCTATGGAGAAAGATAGGCTTACTATGTTCACATGTGTTGTTTCATTGGTGAAACAACACTATATTATCAAAATGGATCAGTACAAATCAACCCATATGTTGTTTCATTGGTGAAACAACACTATATTCAAAACATACCAACCATATGTTTTGTTTCTTTAGTGAAACAACTTTATATTATCAAAATATGTCGATAGATATCAACCCATATCATGTTTCATTGATGAAACAACATTGAATCAATAAAATGAATCAGTACAGATTAATTTATGTATTGTTTCATTCGTAAAACAATATTAATAAAATAATTATGAATGTTAAATATATATCTAGTTAAATATATATCTTGTTGATATTAGTTTACACTTTCTCTAATTTATAGGAGGTTTTTATATAAGGGCAAATTGCATGAAAAAGTAACGTACTTTAACTTGATTCCTATTTTGGGTAACGTACTTTCAAAACTTCCATTTTGGTACTTAAGATGTAAAGTTTAAACATTTAAGTACTCGGGTAACCACTTGAAAACTAAAATTAGATTAAAAAAAGACTAATTTTATATTTAAAAAAATCCACGTCACTGACCATGTCAGCAAATAATCACTCGCCACATCGGCATGATAATCGGTTAATACTTCAACCAGTTACCCGAGTACTTAAATGTTTAAAACTTTACATCTTAGGTACCAAAATGAAAGTTTTAATACGTTATCCAAAATAAGAATCAAGTTAAAATAGGTTACTTTTTCATACAATTTGCCCTTTATATAATTTTAAATATACAAATATATCAAATGTAAAATGTCTACATAACAAATAAGAAAGTCAAGAGGTCCCAGCGGTTCACATGCCTTCAATCTCGCCATGACCGTCATCTCAGTACCCCTACTTCTCCACCCTCTTAATTTCTTCTATATAAACAAACTCAGTCCTCCACAATCAATCAACACTCTGCCAGCCATGGCTGTCGACGACTCCTTCAAAAAACCAGGTGCTGTTCCATTCAAGTGGGAGATCCGACCAGGTGTGCCCAAGCTTCCAGAACACGACCAACCAACACCGTCTAACCACCACCTCAAACCACCACCAGCCACTCCAACCCCGCTGTTCCGTTTCCCGTCCTCACCATGGACCACCCAATCCAATGGCTTCTGTTTCGACAACCCTATAATGGTTGGAGGACCCGAAGTTGTATCATCGTCGGGTTGCTTTCCATCCCGAAAAAGAGACCAAAGGAAAACAAACAAGCTCCATGTATACAAATCGGACCTGGACACGTTGTCCCAATGGTCTATGTCCACTCAAAAGTCGCCGTCACCGTTTCGTGACTCACCCTTCTCATCCTCTTCTTTCTCATCCAGCTACCTTTCATCTCCGTGGATGGTGAGCGATGTGGAATGGGCAGGGTTTGGTCTCTTTTGAAGCTAGCTATCACAAAGTAAATACTCTCGATACATAAGAGATGAAGCAACTTGAATCGACCATGATCATCCAGTCATTTCATGTCGATTTCGGTATCAAGGTTTCTTGTTCAAATTTTGAAATAAATGTTTGTTTGTTGACATCGGTAACTCGTGTAAAGCTAAATCTTGTACCAAAATGATGCAATTGCTATAATCACGTCAATATATTAATTAAGTTTCAGATTTTTGGTTATTCATTTTAAAGCAACCACCGGGATATTTATACTTCAAGTAAAACGACATGATATTATTCTTGTGTCACAACCCAAAAACTCATTAGCTCAATGGTGTCGGCTGACGACAACGACAGAGCCTAACTTTTTATATGGTTAAGAATTCAAACCTTAACAAATGAGAGCGTCAGTAACTTAAAAAAAAAAAAGCTAGAAAATTAGGTTTATAGGATATCAATAATGTAAAAATGTTAGTTGATTGTTTTATAGAACATGAATTTATAAGACCAAACAATAAATCATTCTATCTAATAGTATTATAATAAGTTTATATGATATTTTTGGACATACTAACAAGTTTTTTAGAACATATTTAAAAAGAATATCTTGTCGAGTAATATCCTATAAAATAGTTAATGAGAGGTGTTTTTCAAATAATATTTTATAAAATAACTAATACGACATTTTTTTTAAATGTCCAAAAAAACTTGTTAAGACGTTTAAAAACGTCACATAAACTTATTGAAAAACTCTTAAATATGACACTTTATCATTTTGTCTTGACCTTCGACTACAATATAGTTTCTTAAGTGTCATGTCTACTTTGGAAATTATCTTAGACTATAATGATTTCTAACTAATTCCCTAAGTCATGTCTCGTCGTAAAAAAACTAGATTTTAGGGGAATTACATTCATACCCCTCATATATATAAGGGGTATGTGAGTGAGGCACGGGTAAGAAATAAGTGGTATGTGAGTAAATAGTGGGTATGAATAACAACCGTATATTTTAATTAAATAAAAACAACTACGATTAAATCTTGTTTAATATAACTTAATAACAAATAATTTATTAATTAAACAATTATTATAAAGTAAATGTAAATAATTAAACAATTTTATATTGATTTATAAAATGTTTTTGATTCAACTAGAAGCATACTCGCACAATGCAGCGAGATACATCGTGATTTTAATATTTCATTTTATTATTTATCTCAGTCGATATTATAATATGGCTTTATRTGATTTTGAGAAAGCGATAATGTTTTTATTTTTGAATAAAATATATGTTTGAAGATATCATAAAAATTTGACAAAAATATATCGATATTAGTATCAAATTAACTATTTGA